CTCTGTGTCAAAAATAAATAAATGTTAAAAAAAAAATTAAAAAAGGTGTTTTGAAGTGTTACCTCAGTTAGCTTCTATGTTTCTGTAAATAATACCCCATCCCCTATAGCACAGGTCTCAAAATGACAAGCTACTGGCCACACCCAGCAAACAGATGTGTTGTGTTTGGTGCAGTGTTGGCTAAAACTTTGAATTAAAAAAATTAATTGCCACCATTTAGAAATCAGGAGATTTCACACGAAAAAAATCCAGATTTCCTCCTTTTCTTTCTCTAAAAAAAACCAAAAAACCTGCTAACACTGGATCCACATTCCAATATGGCTACAGTCAGCTAGACCTAACCCCTTGAAACAAGTGGGAACAATCAAGTTCCACACAGTCATCCCTACCTCCTTCATCTAGTCTCCATTACTGCCCTTGTCACCCATTTACCTTGCCTGTCTGGGCTCATGTATTCCAGGAGACAAAGTATCAGCTCCTTATCATGACCCATAATCTGCCTTTCCAACCTCATCTCCCACCATCCTACAAGGAACCCGTATTCCCACAAAATTAAATTCATTGGCATTTCTCATACATGTGTGTCTTTGCACAAACTGATTTATTTTTAAATGTTATTTAATGTTTATTTCTGAGAGAGAGAGAGAGAGCGCGCGCATGATTGGGGGTAGGGCATACAGAGAGAGGCAGACACAGAATCCAAAGCAGGCTCCAGGCTCTGAGTTGTCAGCACAGAGCCTGATGTGGGACTCAAACCCACAAACTGTGAAATCATGACCTGAACTGAAGTTGGATGCTTAACTGACTGAGCCACCCAGGCTCCCCTGCACAAGCTGATTTGCCTAGAATGCTCCCACCTTGGGCAGCTGATAACTTCCTCAAGAATCAAATCATGTGTTTTCTTTGGTACAGACCCACAACTCATTCCAAATAGATTTTCATTATGCTTTCACTGTACCCTGAGCTCCCACCTTGGGCAGCTGATAACTTCCTCAAGAATCAAATCATGTGTTTCCTTTGGTACAGACCCACAACTCATTCCAAATAGATTTTTCATTATGCTTTCACTGTACCCTGAGCATATCTCAATGATATCACTTACCACATTGTATTTTTCTTTTTTTCACATGCTTTCTCAGCATTGAACTATTAGCTCTCTGATGGTAAGAACCACATCCTTTCCATGTTGGTAGTCCCAGTAACTAGCGTGGCACCTACCACATAGTAGGCACCAGTATTGTTTGTCAAATTAATGGTACATGAAGTCTCCTATGGTAACCTACATTGCCTAGA